CAGGTCTCTTTGAATTGGTGATGATATTCTTAAGCTATTCCTTTTCGGCTAATTTGTTATATTAAATAATTACCTGTTCATTAAAGCTCCATAATGACTTTGCTTAGCTCATCATCTGTTCTTCTTTAAGTATTATTTTTTGGTCGATTTATTTTCTTAAGTTTAAGAAAAAAGATGAAATTTTAGATAACAATCCATCAACAGAGCAATCAGCCTCAAAGATTTGCTTAAGTTTCTCGTAAAGCTCATTATCGCCATAAACTGGGTAGTTCTTAAAAACAGTTTTATCATTTTCCTTAATAAGTCCAACTAAATTCAAAGAATATTAATTGGGATTCTCAGAAAAACACTCAGCGCATTGAATGAATTGGCTAGAATTAGGATTAGTGCTTAACGAAACAATCCAGTTATCAGGGTGTCTAGGGCAGCTTCTGTAGTTTTTGTTAGATAGGATGAAGAATTCCTCTTATTTGAGTTTAAGATCTTGGATACTTTAGATCTAATTCATTTTTCTTGCTAATTATGCTATTTCTTAATAAAAGTACTTTAGGGAGAAGATATTTAATTAATTATTTATAAGCAAATCTTATATTAAGAGAATCGTGAATATATATATAATGAATAATTAATATCAAAACGAATTTAATATTTATGACTCTATAATTAATTAATTGCATATATAATAGAGAGATAGACAGACAGACAGATGAAGAAAATATTTAATTAATTATTTATAAGCAAATCTTATATTAAGAAAATCATGAATATATAATGTATAATTAATATTAAAACAAATTTAATATTTATGAATGTAAATTAATTCACTGTATTATATAATAGATAGATAGATATACAGACAGTTGGATGGATGGATGAACGAAATATTTAATTAATTATTTTTAATCTTAAAAACTATTTTTAATTTAATATATCAAAATTTATCAGAAAATAAATTATAAATATAAATATACACATAATCTTTAATTTAATTAATTAATTATGTTTACTTCTAAATATTATTTTTTAGTATTGCAAAGTGCTTAAACAAAATATGTACTAAATTTATATTTATTTACTTATTTATATTTGTCTAACACTAATAAATGAGGAGAATGCAGTACAAAAATATGAAAAATTTAATAATTTAATTTATTATTTGTTCTCATTAATTTGATAGAATGTAAAAGAATTTTTGAGATATAAAGGCTAATAAATGTCAAAATTTTTATAAAGCAAATTATTTAAATTAATTCAAAAAAGATACAAAAAAATATGAGTGAAAATATAGTAAATAACTAAGATCTTCCAATTGTAATTTTAAAATAAATTATTAATGATAATAACTGAATTTTTTGATCAAAAGCCTGAAAATTCCTTTTTATCAACTTAAAATAGACTTTAGATATCTATAAAGTAAACATTTTTAAAATTCATTTAGTTTATAACAAATAATTATTTTCAATTCTTTTAGTGGAAAAAAAGTTAGTTATGAAGAGGTATAGATAGTAAGTTAAAGCTTATAAAATTGCATAAATCTTTAATCTTTGATATTGAATTTCAAATAATGCAAAACTATTGGTGAGAATATTTTCTCATGTTTAGGACCTGCCTTAGCAACTTGCACTAAACTTGCACATTTTTCAATTAATTTTAAGTAAAAGCTAATTTGTGAAAAATTTTCTTTGTTAAATTAATTTGCCTTTTAATGATAATTAAAAAAAATTATAATAAAAATGTCAAATTCAAAATTTTCTAAAAATGATAAAAGGTGAAATATATTCTAAACAGAAAA